GATAATTTCATAGAGGGAAATGCAATCTTTCAAATAGTCAAGACCAGCGTTTCTTAACCTGGGGGGGAGGGGTCATGAGGGGGTTTCAGAGGGGTCACCAAAGACCATCAGAAAACACATATTTCTGATGCTCTTGGGAATCCCTTTGGCAGCAGAGATTGAAGATCTCTCCACCTGTCCTTCTCTTCCTTTTTGGAAATAGTTGGTGAATCCTCTCACCGAAAGCCCTCTTCCGCTGTGATTGACTGGCCTCTCAGCCAAGTGGAGGGCTGTTTCTCACACTCCAAGTGGGAAGAGGATAACAGGCGTACTTGGCACATGGCAGTGTGGAGGGCAAGGGAGAATGTGCAAGGTTTGAGGGAGGTTCGCATCAGCAAGTCCCTTTACAGCATGGTGGTTCTGTGTGGAAAGTTTATTTATTTATTTATTTGCTTCATTTCTATACCGCATTTTTCAGCCCAATTTGGCCCAATTCTATCATTAGTGGGGTTCAGAATGCCCTTTGATTGTAGGTGAACTATAAATCCCAGCAACAATAACGCTCAAATGTCAACCTTGGTTTTCCTCAAACTCCACCAGTGTTCACATTTGGGCATATTGAGTACTTGTGCCAAATTTGGTCCAGATCCATCGTCCACGGTGCTCTCTGGATGTAGGTGAATGACAACTTCAAAACTCAAGGTCAATGTCCACAAAACCCTTCCAGTATTTTCTGTTGGTCATGAGAGTTCTTGTGCCATGTTTGGTTCAATCCCATCATTGGTGGAGTTCAGAACACTCTTTGATTTTAGGTTAACTATAAATCCAAGCAACTGCAATCCCCAAATGACAAAATCAATCCCCACCCAACCCGTAAGTATTCAAATGTGGGCATATCGGGTATTTGTGCCAAATTTCATCCAGTGAATGAAAATACAACCTGCATGTCAGATATTTACATTACAATTTGTAATAGTAGCAAAATTACAGTTATGAAGCAGCAACAAAAATAATTTTATGGTTGGTGGTCACCTCAACATGAGGAACTGTATTAAGGGGTCGCAGGATTCAGAAGGTTGAAAAACAAGACAAATACCATGTAGCGCTTTGAATGTCATCATCAGCACTGAATTGTGCCCTGAATAGATTCAGGGCACTACTATTATAGAAAAAGACAAAATCATGGCACCAGGCATGTCCAATGCAGTCACTGTATTTCTTGGCTCTGAAAAAAAGGAGAAACAGTTGTTGGTCAACAGCATGCTAATGATAAAATATTCTTGATTACCAAATGATCTTGCTGTAGATCAGGGTGCACAATATATCAGCCATATACATAATCTGGACATTTTTATGTTTCAAGGATGCCTGTTGCTACTGCAACAGCAGCAGCAAAAACAGCTGTGCTTTCCATGTAATTTGTTGCCTCCTCAGCATGGCAGCAAATGTGTTCAAAAGGCTTTTTAAAAATCATGGTTGCAAAAGTTGTGAATTTTTTGCTGTTATTATAATTCCTAAATATTTAAGTTTTTGAACAATCTTTATCTTGTTATACTCCTTCAGTTTTTCTAGTTTATTTTTCGAGATATTTTTTGTTATTGCTTCTGTTTTTTCTATATTCAATTTAAAGCCCGCAACTTTTCCAAATTCTTCAATTGTTTCCAGCCATTTATTTAAATCTTTATTTGGTTCTTCAATAATACAGATAAGATCATCAGCGAATGCCCTACATTTATATGAGTATCCATTTATCCTTGCCCCCCTTAGCTCTTCATTCTCTCTTATGCTATTTAACAGAACTTCTAGAGTTAATATAAATAACAAGGGCGAGAGCGGGCAGCCTTGTCTCGTTCCTTTTCTTATTTCAATTTCTTTGCTTTCTTGACCATTTACTATTATTTTTGCAAATTGTGTTTTGTATATTCCCTCAGTTGAATTTGTTATATAAAAACCCAAATCCATTTCTTTAAATAGTAATTTGAAAAAGTTCCAATTTATTCTATCGAACGCCTTTTCTGCGTCAATTGCGAGGAACATCACCTCTTTTTGTATGTTTTTCTCATAGTATTCAATAAGATCTAATATGGTTCTCACATTTTCACTTTGATTTCTGCCCGGTAAAAAACCCGTCTGCTCTTCCTTAATCCACTTCACCAAAAAATTTTTAAATCTGTTTGCCAATATATAACTGAACAATTTATAATCTAAATTTAACAGTGAGATTGGTCTATAATTTTCTATTTTCTCAGGGTCTTTATTTTCTTTCGGTATCACGCAGATATTGGCTTGTTTCCAGGTGGGTGGTATTTCTCTATTTTCTCTTATTTCGTTCATCACTTTTTTTAGAAATGGTATTATTTCTTTCTGCATTTTCTTATAATATATTGCAGAGAACCCATCTGGACCTGGTGCTTTATTTGTTCTTAAGTTTCTTATAGCTGTTTGTATTTCCACCTCAGATATCTCTCTGTTTAATGCCTCTCTTTCTTTTTCTGAAATCTTTTGTATTTTTCTCTTAGCCAAATAGTTCATAATCTTTTCATTTTTTATTTGTTCATCCTGATATAACATCCTATAGTAGTCTTCAAAGTGCTTTCTTATCTCGCCTTCTTCAGTTATTATCTTTTCCTTTGTCCTTAACCTTGTTATAGTTCTCGATTCTCTCTGCTTTCTCAATCTTCTTGCAAGCCAGATCCCTGGCTTGTTGGCATTTTGGAAATAGTCAGCCTTTATATATCTCAAGTTTTTTGCTTTCTCCTCTAGCTCTAGATACTCTATCTCTTTCTTCCATTTTATAATATTTTCTAATATTTTCTTATTTTTTGGATTCTTCTTCAACTTCTTTTCTTCCATCTCTATTTTATCAATTATTTCTTTATGTTTTTGTCCTTTTTCCTTCTTTTTCCTTGCTTTTTGTTGTATAAAAAGCCGCGCATGACAGCTTTACTTGCCTCCCACAAAGTGAATATTCCTATGTCTTCTGTATCGTTTTTTTCGAAATCTTCCTTCAATTTTCCTTTACATTTCTCGATATCTTCATCTTTTAATAATAAGTTATCTTCTAATTTCCATCTCCAGTCCTTTCTTCCTTCTCCAATTTTCATTTCCAATGGGCAATGATCTGAATCTGTCCTCGCTAAAATTTTTATACTTTTCACCTTAGGTAGGATAGAGGCCGATGCCCATATCATATCAATTCTTGTCCAGGACTTATGTCTGGCCGAGAAATACGTGTAATCCCTTCCCTCCTCATTGTTGTGTCTCCAGACATCTTTCATGTTCATATCTTGTAGTAAATTTAATAGCGTTTTTGGGATATTTCCTGCTGTTTTCCTCTCTTTTTCAATTTTTTTTATATTCTGGGCTCTGGTTGTTTTATCTTTTTCCCCATCCAGGACACAGTTAAAATCACCTAGAATTATTATTTTGTCAAATTCTTGTTTTATTATATTTGCTTCTAAAACTTTGAGAAATTTTGATTTTGCCTCATTAGGCATGTACACATTACAAACCAATATTTTAGAGTTTTGCCAATTAATAATAACCCCCAGCATTCTTCCCTCCGAATCTTTAAATGCTAATTTTGATTTTATATCCTCTTTTATATATGTTACTACTCCCCGTTTTTTTTCTGAAGTCGAAGCGTAATATACTTTGCCTAATTTTTTATTCTCTAGATACGCAACATGTTTATGGGAGATGTGTGTTTCTTGTAAAGCAATTATCTGGCACTTTCTTTTTCTTAAATTGTCAAAGACTTTATTTCTTTTATTTCCCAAATTCAAACCATTGATATTGTTACAGTAAATTTTTAAAATAGAGTTCATATTCAACAGTTACTTTCTTGTTGGTTTTCTATCTCTCTCTCTTCTTCTTGTGGATGTTCTGCTTCTTCTTCACTCTTTTCTTCTCCTATTTCTGTATTTCCCTGGTCTTCTTCTATCATTGGTTCCTGCTCCTGTTCTTGAACTGTTTCTGTTGTCTTTCTGAGGTTTAGCCTATAATTTTTGGGGTCAAGATCTTCCTTTTGTGGTGATGCGGTGCGTAGTCTCTTTGTCTGTTTTCCTTCTTGGTGTCTTTCTTCTGATCCGTTCTCTCTCTCTTTCACTATACTTTCATAGAATTGTCTCGCCTTTTCCACCGTTTTGATCCAATATCTTTGTCCTTTGTAAGTCGTCATCAAGCCTTCATCCTTTTCCCAACGATACCTCATATTTTGTCTTTTCAATTCTTCTGTAAGGAAATTATATTTTCTTCTGTTACTTATGACTGGTCCTGGAAATTCCTTCAGTATCACCACTCTTCTATCTTTGTAACAGATTACTCTTTTATTGCTTGCCTTCAATATCTCATCTCTGGTGACTTTCCTTGTAAATTGTACTATTGTGTCCCGGTCAGTCTTATTTCTTCTTGCAAAGTTTGTGCTTACTCGGAATACTCTGTCCATCTGGTCCTCTACGTATTCTTCTGTCCACTGTAGCAATTCTGCTAAGATCTCTGTTACTTTCCCTCTTATATCCTCTTCTTTTTCTTCTCTAATGCTCCTTAGCCTCAACTGGTACTCCGTCTCCTTCCTCTCCAGGGCCTCCTGCCTAGACGCCAGTTTCTGGTTCATCAATTCCAATGTCCTCATTTTGTGGTGTGTTTTATTCTGTTTCTCTTCCTTTTCCTCATTCCTTGTTTGCAAAATCTTTATTTCTTCCTTCATCGTGTCCATATCTCTCTTCATCGTTCCTAGTTCCTCTTTGATCTCTCTTTTCACTTCTGCCATCTGCTCCTGTGTTACTTTTTGATAGGCGTCTTGTTTTTCACTCATCTCCGTTAGTTCTTTTCCAGTCTTTTTTATTTCCTTCAGCAGCTCTTTAAATCTTAAGTCTTCTCCAAATGAGAGTCTTCTTCCTAAATTGGGTATATTAGAAATATTGCTCATGCTTGCCGAGGAGCATATAGTCTCTTTAAATTCTTTGACGTCCTTTTCCTTGTCCTTGTTTGTCTCTTTACCGTCTTTACCGTCTTTCATTTCTTTCCCCATCTTTGAAACCTGGGGTGTTCCTTCTTTTCCATTTTTGCTCTTTGTGACTGTTGTTGCCATTCTGGTGTGTTTCTCTTTCTGTAAATAATTTGTAAAGAGTTTGTATATCGTTTGCATGCAAGCTGTCTCTTCCTCCTTAATCACCCCCTCTCTTTTGTATCTCTGTCTCTTATTTTATTATTTATTTATTTCTTATTATTATTATTATTATTATTATTATTATTATTTTCCGTTAAATTATTTCTTTATATTTATTTTATTTATTTTATTTATTTTATTATTTATTTATTATTATTAAAGCTTGCTGCAATTTTATTCCATTACCTTTCTCACCTCTTCTCTTTTCTTTTCTTTTCTTCTCTTATTCTTTGCCCTCTCTCTCTGTCGTTCCTCTTTTCTCCTCTCTCTGACCCTCCGTCAGTCCTCTTTTTCGTTCCTTCTCGCCGCTTCAGTCCTCCACTCCGTTCTTCTTTCCTGTCTGTGTGTTACTTTATTTGTCTCCCCTCCTTTCCTCCTTCCACTTCCTGTCTCTTTGTTTCCTACTTCCTGCCGTGTCCTCTCCTTGCTTTCCCTCTTCTTCTTGCACACGCCTCTCTTCTCGCGATCCTTCTCACGCATTCGCGTTCCCTTCTCGCGTGATCTCTTCTCCCTCTCTCGTCTCTCGTTGCTCCGCTTCCTCCTCTCAGCTCTCGCGCGGTTTCCCTCGGTTTTCTTCTTATCTCCTTATGGGCTTCGTAGACACAACAACGGTCCTTTCAAGGTCAGGCTCTCAGGCGTTGAGCCTTTAATTTATTTATTTATTTATTTTCTATCTTTTGTCTTTCCTTCTTTCTTCTTCTGATTTTGACTATGTACTCTTTAAATAACTTTTCTCCTTTATCTTCCTCCCTCTTAGTTCTCTTTCTCTCCCTCTTTCTCAGTCTTTCTCAGTCTCCAGGTTGGAAGGTTTCCAACGGAGGTCTTTCCTTTGTCCGTCCTTTCTCCTTTCCTTTCTTTGTTTATTGTATTTTTTTTCTTTCTGTCTTCCCTTCCTTCCTTCCTATTACCTTATGGAAGGGGGTCCCCACCTCCCTCTCCGAATCCTTATGGTTCCTTACTCACTTTTCCGTTCTGCTCTTGCTTCTTTTCATTAAAATACACGTGGTAGAGGATGAGTCGGGATCAATGCCCTCTTGCCCAGCCACGACCCGCCGTACCTCGGGCGCCTTGCCGTATCTTTTGGGTGGTCCCCTCTTGAGGAAGGGACCCCCCTTTAGACCATCGGCGGCCTCCCCGGTTCCGCTGTTCCCCCCGTATCAATCCACGCGGGGGAAGGGAGCTATTGCTCTACCCGGTCGCTTGGCTAGGGCTGGCACCAGCCGGAGCTCTAAAGTGCCTGTCTCCTCTCCATCTTCGTGCACCGGAACTTTTACAAAATAACTATATAAGACTCTGGAAGGAGATAAAAAAAGATCTGGAAAAATGGAAATATCTGAAAATCTCACTATTGGGGAGAATTTCCTGCATAAAAATGAATGTCCTCCCAAGGATGTTATTCCTGTTCCAAAATTTACCTATTATCAGAAATCAAAGAAACATAAAAGAATAGAGTAAAGATATCAGGAAATTCATCTGGATGGGTAAAAAACCAAGGATAAACTATAAGAACCTAACGGATGACAGAGACCGGGGAGGACTGGCACTGCCCGATCTGGGGTTATACGCAGAAGCTTACGCATTAGCGTGGGCAGCCGATTGGATTAGATTAAAGAAAGAGAAAATTTTAAATTTGGAAAGCTTCGATCTCCGTAGGGGGTGGCATGCCTATTTGGGATATGAGAAAGTTAAAATAGAGAAAAATTTCGGAAATCACTTTATAAGAGCGGCAATCATGAGAACCTGGAACAAATACAAAAACCGGATGTACAGTAAAACACCGATATGGCTTTCCCCTCTAGAATCATGCCAAAGAAAAGAATTAGGATGGATTAGATGGCCCTGTTATAAAGATCTAATTAGAGAAGAAAAAAAGGAAATAATTTTAAAACCAATATCAGAAATAAAAACAGCCTACCCGAACACGACCTGGCTCCAATATAGACAAATACAAGAATTCTTTGGAAAGGACAAAAAAATTGGATTTGAAAAAAAAGGGAACAAATGGGATAGAATTTGGGAATCAGACAAGAAAAAAATAGCCAAAATATATAAAGGTCTACTCCAGTGGAGCACTGAAGAAGAAGAAGTGAAGGACTGTATGGTGAAGTGGGCGAGAAATATAGGAAGAACAATRGGAATAGAAGAATGGGAGARGATTTGGAAGAAAAAATTAAAGTACTTAAAGGCATATGACATGAGAGAAAARTGGTTTAAAATATACTTTAGATGGTATATGACACCCGCCAAAATAAATAAATATTARAAAAARGCAAACTCAAATTGTTGGAAGTGRGAAGTAGTAGAGGGAACGATGTTCCACATGTGGTGGCAATGTAAGAAAARGAGAAGATACTGGTTGGAACTCCAAAAAATACTGCAAAAATTACTGAAAATTAAAATCCCCCTAAAAGCAGAAATATTTTTTATTAGGCATCACAACAYATTTAGAAATGGAAAAAAARGAAGAGAAATTACTATTCCTGGCAACAACAGCGGCCAGAATGTGTTTCGCTAAATTATGGAGAAAAAAAGAAATTCCTAGCCTTGAAGAGTGGAAAAGAAAAATGTTGGAAGTAAGAAATATGGATAGACTGAGCTTTATTATGCAAAGAAACAAAGGAATAATGGAAACCGAAACAGACTGGACAAAATTTAAAGAATACTTAAATTTAAACTTACATAATTAAATTAAAGAGCAAAGAAAAGATAAAGATGGACAAGGAGAAGAACAGAAATTATTATGCTAGTCGACCAAGGAGGCGGAGAAAGAGAAAGACGAAGGAGGAGGAAAGGAAAGAAAAGGATAAGACCTACCCGAAGACGAATCCTGGAAGTCAAATGATTGAAGAACAAAATATCTTGTAGCTTTTCTTTTAACTGTCACTCTCATTGCACTCTTATATCTTTTTACTATCTCTATATTCTTTCCTATCTTACTTCCCTGCACGGCTTCACACCCTCCTTACCTTCCCTACTATCTCTATCTCTCTCTCCCTCTCTCTTCCCTATCAACATTCATGGATTTTCCTATTTCATTATTCCAATATTTCAAATGTATGTATATATACGAAAATTGCAATAAATATATATTTTTAAAAAAATCATGGTTGCTTCTGTTTTAAATCAAAGAATGGAGGGGCACTTCTGGCTCATGGACTGACTTCCAAATTGAAACTGTAGAGTTCAGAAACTCCAAATTGAAGACAACTCAAGAAGGAGATTTTCACAATTGGACTGAGATCTTCAACTAAAACCTTCCACAACAGAAGGAACTTTCTGTGTCCTCTCTTTTAAGAAAAGCTCTGAAACCATGTATTCTCTATTAAAAAAAAAAAAACACCACACCACACATGGATTACCTCCTGAAGCACAGCCTGCTACCCCTTTCTTGGAAGATGTAAGCATCCACGAGAAGGAAGGATCAGGCACATGCAATGTTTTTCAAAGTGCGAGTCATCCAACAATATTGGCACAAAAAAGGCTCTGGAACATCTTTAGTTCACACAAGCTTAAGTGACAGAGTTACATCACTGCAATTTTATTTTCAAAATATCTTGCAAAACATCTTAGGATCTCTTCTTACTGAGGCATCTACTGAAACAGAACAACTAGATAACACAAAGCGGATGCAGTGGTGTAGAGAAACGTGCTTACTTATCTGCTATCACCATCACCACGGGATAGAGTCAGTAGTGAGATCATAGTAGAGTTTAGGTTTTTAAATGTGTTTCTAATACCTCCCAGTGTAGTTCATTGTCTTCAGCTGAAACAGTCAGTCTCAGGAACTGCACAGACACTACTAAGGGCTAAACTGTTCTGGAACAATCAGATCAACCAACCTGCTCATCTCTTAACCCACAGATCGACTTATAGCCAGAAAATGCCACTGAACTCAATGGAATCCTCTGGAATCCCTCAACTACAATGGATCAGCTCAAACAGTTCAAGACCTTTGAAAAGTGAGGCCACAGTGAGTTCAGAGTTCAACAGTAAATTATTTAAACATGTCAAGAGAAAGCTGTTTGGAACATGTTGTGATTTTTTGTTTGTATCTTTAGTAAAACTGCACCTTTAAATTGCTGTATTGCTGTCCAACATAGAAAAACACATTTCAGTGTGTACTGCTGTATAAACTGGGCCGATGGCATGTTTGGAGAACCATGTTATGGGCATGGAGTCCTGATATCCTGGGTCTAGTGGCCTCTGTGTGAATATTGAGGACTTCCTCAATACCCAATTCTAAATTGTCCACATTGCCTCAGGCACAGAAACTGGTCCGCACCTGTTTGGATAGTTGTGTTAATGTTTGCTTTCAAGTTATCTCCAATTTCTGGTGATCCAAAGGTGACTCTATTGTGGGTGTTCCTTGACAGGATTAGTTCTGGGGGGAGGGGGGGTTCTTTTGACTTCCCCTGAAGCTGAGACACCATGACTTCAGTTTCCCTGGCCAAGTGGGGATCTGAACCCTGATCATAGTCCATTGCTTAAACTACTACAATACACTGGCTCTCCAGCACAATTTGTACACCAAAAGCACTGTCAATTTGTCCAGTTTGTGTAACACAGAATACAAACCCTTCCATTTGGCTCAGGAAAAGAGAGAAAAGTCCTCTTCTTGACCTCAGTGACACCTTCTCCCCAGCCCTTATGTTGCTGGACTGATTAGTTGGGTAAAATATCTGCGGAGAACTGGTTCCCCTGAGCGTCCCTCTTACATTTTGCTTATACTGGGCTCCTCATTCATAAAACTAGAGTACCGACATGCCCAAAGGAACACTGGAAGAAGAGAAAACTTTGGATCCTATGATTGGCTGGGAAGGAGAGATGGAGGCTTGGAAAAACTTTAGAAAAGATAAATACCATGATATTGTAGACCCATGTTAGTTTTGGGGTCTAATAGAGCCAATATGGCATAGTAGTTTGAATGTTGAGCTACAGCTCCGAAGAGCAGGGTCTGAATCCCCACTTGAACATGGAAACCCACTGGGTGGCCCTAGGCCAGTCACATATTCTTAGCATCAGCAAAACCCATGATAGGTTTACCTTGATGATTTGGAGGTTCACAACAAAAACAAAACTTTTGAGATAATTCCATTCCATGTTTTCACTCCATAATTTTGTATCATACATTCTAATTTTCTCTGTTTGCTAAAGACTTTAAACTTCAGTACTAGCCTGTCTCCTTTTGTCTCACTATTTCTTTTTCAGGTTGCAACTATTAACATTAGTTTATCAAATCTGCTCTGGATAGATCTTATTGGTTATGCTTTCCTATTGCTATAATGCAAATTAACCTTAATGATCTAAAAAAAATTCAATATCTGGAAAGCCATACCTGCTACACCCTGTCTTAAAGGAACCATTTTTTAAAAAAAGTTTAAACATATTCTACCCTTTCATTTATAGAAAATCGATTCTCATTTGTATCAATGGTAGTTTATAAACAATAAAAGTAATACCTGCTACATTCATGGATAAAACCCATGTTAAACCTGAGAAATAGAACAGTCTCATTCCTGGATGAATAATGGTGTTTCAGTGATGGCAGTGATGGATGCCAAAGTCAGTGATAGCATCCTCTCATGTAACTGCTTCCAATATCATGGGTGATAACTTTCAACCACATGGCCTAGATTTAGCATTGGATGCTAGCTGGCATTGCGGATGCACACAGTTTATCATTGTAATGTCAACGTAGTGTCTTTCCCCACTATATGCTACACATCTGTCTAGAGATGCCCTAGACGGAATATTATTTTGCTAAAGAAACAGTCATCAGCATTATTATTATTATATTATTATTATTATTATTATTATTATTATTATTATTATTATTGCGGAAGAGAATATACCATTTCGTTTTCTCCTCCCCCACTCCCAAATTTAGAGGCTTCATGGATTAATAGTATATTCAACAGCTTTTCTGATGAATCACTTTGAAAATCAACTCTATGATGACATGCTAGTAATTAGTATTTCTATCAGAGTAAATACGTTTGAACACTCATATGAAGCTGGGATAGAAGTGTTTGAAGAAATACACATATAATTGCTTGTCACAGCTAGAGGATTTGCCTAGTACACTTAAGAATTTTAATTTTCCAACTTTGGATGTGGCTTGACTTACCAAGGATAGGGGAGATAGAAGCCTTTAAAAGGAAGCCTTCAGTGTTTAGTTCACAAAGTATGCTATAATATAGTGATTCTCAACCTGTGGGTCCCCAGATGTTTAGGCCTTTGACTCCCACAAATCCTCACAGCTGGTGAACTGGCTGGGATTTCTGGGAGTTGTAGGCCAAAACACCTGGGGACCCACAGGCTGAGAACCATTGCTAGGTAGCAGAAGAATCTACACTAATGTAAATGTAGGTAATTCCATGGGCATACTCTAGTTAAAAACCGTAAATGAATTATGTCCTTTGTTTCCTTACTTCTATATTACTAGGAATAAATGTCCATTCTGTATTCACTCTGTACCTAAAGAACTTTGTGTCTTGTGGGATGGAGGGAGGGGGGAGCAGGGAGGGTATAAAAAGAAGGGCTAAACGCTATGGAGAGAGAGATCGGAAGTGAAGGGGGGGGGAGAGAAAGGGTCTAAGTTGTAAATTGCAGCATATGTTTCATGTTTATGTCTATGTTTGATGTTTTATAGTTTTAATGGTTTAAATCAACACTTATATGTTATTGATTCAGATATGTGATATTTTTATATATATGTGAGGCTCTGAATTTGCCATTTATTATGTTGTAAACCGCTTTGAGTCCCCCCAGGGGTGAGAAAAGCAGTATAGAAATGCAGTAAATAAATAAATAATACATTTCCCTGTGGAATTCTTAACTTTACTATGGACCCCCTTTAAATAGCTTTTGTTGCCACAGATCACCAAGACTCATTTAAAGCTCCAAAGTTCATTAAATGTTTATTTAAAGTCTTCAGATTTGGAGACAAGGGAGAAATAACTAACTGCACACACTACTATTACACTATTCTTACTGGAATGATCCCATACAAATGATGGTGATGATAGCAATAATAACCCACAGTCACCTACGTACTCACCGCCAGTACATGAAACTTGGAGGATAATCTTACTCAGACAATGAGGAATTGCCTAAGTAGCAAGTAATAATAATATCTGAACACTGAACCATGGCCAAATATTACTTTTAATTTAATTAATTACTGTAATTAATAGCAGAAGCTTGTATTCTGAGTTTTAAGTATGTTTCTCAAATGATTTCTGTACTTATTTTTAAGATAAATGAGAGCAGAGAGGGATTTTTGCACAAGTATGCCACTATA